TTTGTCACGTAAGCAAAGACACTCCATTTAAAATGCACCTTTAAAAGATGCTTCAACGTAAGTGCACCTTTGCCGAAATGATACCATTTTAGTCGATATTATTATGTGAGTTCGATTTCAGTAAAGAAAGAGTTTAAAAAGGATATTATTCTAAAAAATTATCTGTTTATTATAATAGTGTTATTAAATCAAATATTTTTTAAGATGATGATACCTATCATTTTATTGAATAGTTAAATTTATTCAATTATTTAAAAATAAAATGAATATTAAATTGATAGAATTTTTGTTGTTGTACTCTACTTTTCAAAACATCGTCTTGATTAATTCGGATTGACTCACATCGTACATTTGATTTTGGTGGGTGAGTCTCCTAACTAGAATTTTCTACATACACAAGGGCTTAAACCTAAGACATTGTTTAAGCAATATCAAGCTGCTTATCACTTAAACCAACTCATTGTTAAATTGATAAAAAATTTAAATATTAAGAATTACATTTGTAGAATTATTTTTAAATTAATAAAAAATTAATAAAACATATATATTTTAGAGAATAAAAATGTTATTATAATATACCACATCATCTTTTATGTTAATTTTTAATGCTGATGATTAAAATAGAAAAACGCAATGTTAATGACTAAAGTTTAAAAAAAATATAATTATATGATTAAAATAGAAAAATGGTAATAGTTTAGTGATCGGTCGTGTAGTTCACCCTAATAATATTAATAATAGTCTATATTAGAACCTTAAGGCTTAGAGCCTACAAATGGCGGGAGGCTTTCGTTAGAATAAAATTTTGACGCAGCAATCTGGCACTCAAAGATTCATCCAAAAACCCTCCAATCCTTAAAACCCAAAGCTTCCCTATTTCTGTTCTCCACCGCTCTCCTTTTTCACCATTTATCCCCTACTTTTCTTCTCAATTTCTTCTTTTGTCCCGTTTCCTTATTATTTTTTCTTAAAACTATAGTTTTCCTTTTTCTCCCTTTTCTATTGGGTTTGCTTTTTGCAGATAGAAAAGTTAGAGAGTCGGAGCACTGTGAACATTTTGATCCAATGGAGGCCGCGGCTGGTGTCGCCGCCTCACAGAGCAGTTCGTTGCCGATGCCATCACCTTCACGGAAAGAGTGGCGTGCCGTTTATGGCGTGGTAATTTCATTTAATCATGAAAGTTTCTTTGTTTTTTTGGATTAGAAGAACAACGGTGAAACGAGAACATATTCGTGTTTTGCATATGAAGTTCCGAACGAAAAACAATTTCATGATTAATTCTATAACTATTTGTGTTTGGTATTCTTATGCGCAGCGCTTAATTCTTTTTCCATTATCTTATTGGCTCTTTAAGTTTGTTTACTCGTATACAGTTTGATTACCCAGTTATTTAATTAGTTGCACTTATTTCACTCTTTTGGGTTGAGGTTTGGGATCGTCATTTATTAGCCCAACCATGTGCTCTATTTGAAGCATTGATTAAAATTGTTGCCTCACTTTGATGGAAGTCTATGGTTAATTGGTTGTTTGAATAATTGGGGATGTAAATTTGGGTTGTATAAACTGTTTTTCAATATTTATGTAATCCCAAGAACTCAGTGTTTCAAACTCTAGAATTTTTTTTCAGTTATGGTGAAGTGATAAAACACCCTGATGCCAATGGTAGGATTGTAGCTTCGAGTTATGTTGGTGAAAGATTAATATTGTTGTTGTTATTGAAGCTGTGGTGTTCATATTTGTTATATTCAGTTTTTTGTGATAAACAGGGATTGGACAGATCAAAGATGGGACAACCAGATGAAAGGACCTTATATAAGGTAAGGCTTTTGGCTCTAAGATCAATTCCATTTTGAGAACGCTGAAAAGAGAACATGGTTAAATGCTTATTAAGGTGCAACATCGAGGAGAGCCTGTTGATGCTGACTTCTTTCGGATCACGGTGGATGGAACTTTAGATGATGACATATTACAACAGAGAATCCATGAGGTTACTAGACAGAGAGAGGCACTCCAACAAATCGATATTGAATTACAAGCTCAGGCAGTTGCTAGATCAACAATTCTAGAAATGCAGAGAAGTTGTGATGCTAAAATTGAAGCCCATGCCAATACTGCTGCCAAGCTTGAGGTTTGAATTAAGAATGTGATTCATAGCAATATTGTTCTCAAATACAACTATCAAGAAAAGAAACAAGTCATGTTTTAAAGGCCTCTATAAATTATACTGACCTTTGATTTATGAAAATGTAAAATGAAAGAGAGGTATTTATGTTTCATGCATATGATTATTAACCCAAGGAAGTTCTGTCATCATGATTTGACTATCGGATGATTAAATGAGTGAAACCTACCTTTTCCAATATTGTTATTCAAGAATTATGTTTTAAGAATCTCATGTTTGAAATTGTGAAAAATATCAATGAGTTCTTCCACGCATGAAACAAATAGATTCTTGTTTTCTTTTTGTGAATTTCAATCTATCTTTAGCTTTATTTGCTTCTACAGGACCAACTCAATGAACGTGAACAGACCATTCGCCAATTGGAAAAGAAAATGGATGAGAAAGATAGAGAACTACATGCCATCAAAGTGGAAAAAGAAGAGGTCTTCTCTGTTTTTCCATTCTGCTCTTGGATTTACTTTTATTCTTCTTTTAATATAAAATGTTTTTCTAGTAAGTCATGTAATTTAAGGCTTCCCGGATTATCTTGGCAGGTCTGGGAAAAGGAACACCTCCTCAGAAAGAAAAACAGGGAACTAGGAACTTTCAGGTGTGTTTATTGTGCTCTACTCTTAAGACCTCTCTATTTGCAGTAACCAGCATTTAGGCTTAAGCGTTTTAAAATCCTCAAACTTTAATTAAGCCCTCAAATTGGCAAATTGCTTCAAGTAGCCTTCTCTTTGACCATCTGTTTTTGTCGTTGCCCGTTACTGTGTCGACTTGGCCGTTAAGTTTGCTAACTTGTTAGACAATGTGAATGATGTTGTGGTAGAGGGACTTGGTTTCTTTTCTCTTTTTAAAGTTTGAGTCTTATATAATCCCGAGAAAATGTAATAAATTATATAAAAAATCAAAATTATTGAAAATTTTAAAAATATAAAAAATAGAAATATTTAAAAATAAATTAAAAGTTCGAAATAATTAAAAATTATAAAATAAATTAGAAATCAATATTAAAAAAAGTATTTAGAACATTAAAAATAAGAAAATAATATTAGATTTTATTTAAAAATAAAGAAATATAAAAAGTAATTATTTTCTAAATATTTGATTTTTTTATAATTTTGACTTTTTTATTATTTTCAAATGATTTTTATATTTTTAGCATTAATATGCCCTCAAACTTTCCAAAAAATCAATTCAACCCCTTTGCTAGGTCATCATTCACAAGTTGGTTGTCATGCCAGTAAGTTTAATGACCACATTAGCACAATAACGGTCAACAACAGAAACTGTTGGTCATGGTGGCTCCATGATGCAGTTTCTGTTCGAGCACTCATTTGAGTGCAAAAAAAGTAGGGGCTTAGTGGATTTTTTTTCATGAAAAAGTTCAAGAACGTTATAAGTCCTTAACATTTTTTTCCTAAACCTGTTATTTAGTTGAGTTAATAACTTAGCTTTTAGAATTCATAACTGAATGGCATTTCCTTTTCTGGCTGAGGCTTGAACCTTCAGAATTTTACTTGGGCTTCCTTTTCTTTTTCTATTTGCAGAAAAGAACATGATCATTCAGAAGCTGAGAGAACCCAACATATAAAAAAGAGACTTGATCTCCAAGAGCATATTAAAGAGAAAGAGAGGCAGATTATTGAATTGCAAGAACAGGTCCATACATTTATTTTATTTTATGCACTTTGAAATTTACTTAAATTAGGGAGGTTTAGTTGTGAATAACCTGTTTCAGGATCCATGGTGTGCATCTGCCAATTATTGAAAGTTAGATTCAGATTTATTAAATTAACAAAGCAAGTTTTTTTATGTTCGATATGGAAGTCGCACAACATTTTCAATCAAGTATAATGTCAGTTGCTACTTGCTGGAAGTCTAGCTGCTTTTACTAATAAAAGTCTTGTTCTTCAGTATAGGGCAACTCAGGAAGCCATTCTTCATAAGGATAAACAACTGAGAGAGGCCCAAACTTGGCTTTCACGTCTCCAGGAGATGAATTCTTTGCATTCAAGTACAAACCACACCTTACAGGCAGAATTAAGAGAACGCACAGAGCAATATAACCAGCTCTGGCATGGCTGTCAAAGACAGGTTGACGAGCTTTAAATTTCATATTTATGTTTCTCTCTCGAATAAATAAATAGACATGGTTTTCCATGAATTTAGATTGACAGACGTTGATTTTAGTTTGCAGAAATGGAGAGACGTCATTTACTTAAAGTGCATCAACTTCAACTTGAGCTGGCTGATGCAAGAGAGAGGAATGGTGAATCACATGTATCACAAACATGGTGAATCACATGTATCACAAACAAACACAAAAGACTTACGTCAATATGGTGACCAAAATAATGAAATTCAATTGGATTCTAATGGAAGTGGTGGAAGTGGTGGAACAAATGCGAATACTGGGGTAGTTTCAAATGGGGCTTCAGACAATGTTCAACCGTTTGCTGGCAATGCATCAAATCTGGTAATACTGTTTCTGTTGAAGTGTCATTGTTGAGATTGTGCCTAATAAAATATTTAATATAATCACCTGTAAAGTGATTATATGTAACCACTTTTGTTCATATTGTAATGCATTTCATTAGCAAAATATGATACAACTTGCATTTAGTTTTATTCAAGTAATGGATCTCTGCACCCCCTCCACAGTCTCCTCATTTCTACACTTCGCTGATGTCTAGTTTAAGACGGTGATTGTAAACAATTTTAGAGGTTTTAATTAAAAACCTTAGGCTATATTATTCATTAATGGTCACTTCATGATTTTTTTTGTTCTTTTATTTACTATTTTTTATTACTTCCTCTTTTTGTTCCCTTTAAATTACTCTTTTCACTAACAGAATCAAAATGACCATGTTCAGAGTGTTTCGGTTGCTCCACATGGGCTGCTTACTTACCTCCCACCTGAGCAAGGTACTGCCCTCCATTCATTTGTCATGTGTCAGCAAGGGTTTCCTCATTCTTTGGCATCTCATGTTACATCCTACTCAATGCCAGCAATGTCATCCATTGAACAGTGGCAAAATCAACAAGTATGGTCAAAGCAACAAATTATCACTTTTCCCAAGGTATTATGTGCTATACTTAATGGTTTTTCATCATGTTCTTCAGACTGCATCTGGGGGTTTCCAGCAATCTGGACAGAATGAACTTCCACCATCCCAAACTGATCAAAACCTCAGGAGGTCAGATGTAAGTCATGAGTGTGAAATGTCTGCTGATGGACCAGCCATTTGTTCGGAACATCTGGATCATATAAGCCGAGGGTCTGAGCCAAATTCTGTAATATCAGCATCTGCTGGGACAGCACAGGTTCTTTAAATTTAGATTATTTTCTTAAGATGTTCAATATTGTTGTCCTCTATTCTTGTAAATTGTTAAAACCATTTATGTGCTAGTCTTTGATTCAATTAATGCAAGTTACATTGTGAAACCTCGATCTGAGCAAAGCTTACAACAGGTTTCTTCACAATTTCATGATGCATTGAAATTGATCACTTTTGAACAGAGTTATGAATCCAAGGTTTGTCTGTTTGGCCAGTCTTCACGTTGTTGAAAATCTTGTATCTAATATCTACTTAATTTTGAACTGGACAGGAACAGAATATGATGAACTTGAAAAATCATGTGCTGGAGGACCAAGATCTAACAGTTGAAGTAGGTACCGCTGGCAGCCTGTCTCATACTAATACTTCAGTGCAATCTGTTAATTCCAATGAAACAACAATCATCAATGGAACTGGTGCTGTTTTGCCCAAAAAGTCGGTCACAACTGGACAGAATAATACATTGATGTCAGGTAAGATTTCAGAGACTGCTTTGCTTGATGAAAAAGCATTGTTGGCCTGCATTGTTCGTACAATTCCAAATGGTGGCAGAACCCGGATCAACTCAACGGTTAGTACTTTTGTGGTTTGCTAATAGTTTTTCTTAGGTGAAGTTACTATAGCATTTAAGTCGTGCACAAATGGGTTTGACTTGTATATTTGAAATGCAGCTGCCAAATAGGTTGGGGAAAATGCTTGCACCTTTACATTGGCATGATTACAAGAAAAAATATGGAAAGCTGGATGACTTTGTAGCCAATCACCTTGAGGTTTGTTTATTGTAGCTTTTCACATATTTTTATGCATATAAAATTGTAGTTTCTCAAGATTTAAAATTGTAACACCTTTGTGATTTCAGTTATTTGTGATCAATGGAGATTATATTCAGCTTCGAGAGGGAGCACAAGAAATGATAGAAGCCACAACTGCTGTTGCAAAAGTCGCTGCAGCTACTGCAGCCACGTCTCCTCAATCGACCTCTTTTCCTTCTGTTGCTGTTACTCCAATTGTGCAGCCTAACCGACTAAAGAAAGTTCTCACATAAATTGCTTCTGGTCGTGTGACAAACGAGGATGATGTTTTCAAGAAGCATGCAACAATCTCTAAAAATGCAGCTGATGATCATTCACAGCAGTTAGGAATGCAATATCAACATCCAAATGGCATTTCTTTTGTGGCTGGCAATAATCTTATATTTAAATACAAATTTAAAGACACTCTAATGAAAGTAATGGGGCAAGTTTTGAGAGAATAAGTATGAGAAGTGCTGAAAGCAGAGCCTCAGGTCATGGAAGGTCTAATTCAAATTTTGTTGGAAAACAGGACAGGTAAGTGACTTAAAAACCCTACCAGATAGATGAAGGTCATATTCAGCTTATGTTTTTTTTGTGTGTGTGTGACTGCTTAAGCCTACAGAAGTTGACTTTCTTGTACTTTGGCTAGGGCAACGGGGGGATAGCATCTTGTAGAAGATAGCGAGTGCATCTATCGAAATTATGAGTTATTTGTATAATTGTTGTCATATTCAATTGTATCTTTTCTTTTGGGGTTGGAGTGACAAGATTATGTTGCCTTGTGAGATATTTACAAGAATTAAGTTGGATAAACTGACACTAGTTTTTATCATCTAATATACCATTGTAATTTTGTTGTGCCAGGATGGATACTCTGGATTGCAAGCATCCTAGGATATTAATCTGATTGGCTATTTTAAATAATTTGTTCTCCTTTTTGGCCTTAGATAGTCTGGTTTTAGAAAGAGCTATTTATTTACTGTGTTGTCATACTGAAGCTACACATTTCATTTCCAACTTGCAACTGTGCATTGGTACTTCATACTCAGTTTTGAATTGCAAGCTAGCAACTTTGAAACCACAACTCAGAGATGGTGAAAAAGAAGGTAAATAATTACTAGGGAGATGTCGAATGTAATAGATTTGTTGTTTTGCCATATTGTCTCCCAAAATTGAGTTAAATTATGGAAGATAGAAATGAGTAAAATAAACAAATAAATAAGTGGAGAAAGGAGATGGGTGAGTTCAATTTCTCTAAATAAACAAAAATATATAATTACTAGGGAGATGTCGAATGTAATAGATTTGTTGTTTTGCCATATTGTCTCCCAAAATTGAGTTAAATTATGGAAGATAGAAATGAGTAAAATAAACAAATAAATACGTGGAGAAAGGAGATGGGTGAGTTCAATTTCTCTAAATAAACAAAAATATAAACATAATTAGAAAGATGATAAATAAATAATTTATCTGTTGAATTGTGTTTTGGGATAGTAATAAGCCGTAAAATTTGATTTTGGATTTAATTGAATTTATAAAAATATTATCAAAATTAGTTTAAAATCTAAATTAAATTGAAAAATATGTTTTACATGTTTTTTAACTTAGTCTAACATTTAAAATATATATATGTTCGTTTTCGTGTTTTAAAGTTGAGTTTTCAAGAATCTTTGGCTTAAGATTGACCCCTTAGTAAAAGATTGATCTCTTTAATCAAATGACCGATTTCCTTGAAAAAGGATTGATTCTTTGAATTCTATAAACTTTTAGATCGATCCTCTGATAAAAAGGATCGATCTATTCCCTTAAAGGATCGATTTCTTTCTTCCAACAGTCAAATTATTTGAAAAATAATAGATTCCTTTGAATAAAGGTTGATCTCTTGTATTTTCCAGAAAAAAGATCGACCCTTTTATAAAAAATATTTTTTTTGCAATGAATCCCCTTTAAATCAAATGTGTGAGGAAAGCCTTTAAAATTCTATTTTACGTGCATATCACTTACCAAACCTCCACTTCGAACCAAAAACACTCAAATGACTTTCAAACTAAAAAATTCTTCAAAATCCTTCAATTCAATCAAATTTTAAAGAGTTTTGTGCGTGATTCTTCTTTCATTCTTTCTTTCAACTATTCATAACGTCATTTTGAAAGAATAACACTTTTGGGAAGGGTTCTTAAAAGCCTTATCTTTTCATTTTTTTAATTCGAAAAATTGGATTGATTTAGGTGGTTAAAGAACAATTATTCATTGAATATATTTTTATTTTAGGTAGGGGTATAACTCATTGACAAATTTTATTTAAAACTTAAACCTTATCTTACACCCCAAGACGCTTGATAAAAGTCTCCAATCAAAATCACTCTCATACCATTCGGTCATACCCATTTTCTTAGCTTAAGTCATTTTAAATCTTTCAATAATACTTTTTAGCCTCCTTCAAACATCTCTTTTAGCCTAAATTTTAATTTTAATCAAAATCTTTCAAAATGGTTAAACGAAAATCTATGGCTTTAAAGGGACAAACTTTCCCAAGCAACCCTCAAGTTGCTCCTTTTCTTGATTTATGTTTTAAAAGCTCCAAAGCCCATGAGAGATTCGATTATTTTTTCTAAGATTGTCCGATTTAAAAAACCCAAAAAAAAAAGATTTCGAATTTTTAAATATTTTGAATTTTTCTCATGAGCAAAATTTGAAGGACATAAAACTTTTTTATTTTCTTAATTTTTACGTCCATACTTATAAATTTGGTTCAAGCTTTTTATTCGAATGCTGCAGAAATTCAAGATGGCACCATTCATCAGACTATTATCTCATATCTTATGGGTCATATTGTCATCATCATCGTCGACCTCATCGTCCAATCTTTTGACCTTTCTCTCACCGACGATGACAATGAACAAGATCTTTTTTCCTCTAAATACGCGTCTTAGAAATAATAGTCACCCTTTTCTCCCTCCATGACAGGTTGTTTCATTTTATCATCACCCATTGCAACCGTACTCATGGCACAAAATTCCCGATGGTTTGCGAGAGTGACTATTGATGGATGTATTGCATTCAACAAGGTCACAAGCTCCTCCTTGCTAGCATGACCTTCAATGACATTGTAAGTGTCATCAAATCAAAGCTCAGTCAAATATTGTGTACGGGATGTATCTCAGTCACTTATTCGAGCTACTTGATGTTGACACTCTCATAAGCCTGACATGTTCTCTTCCGATGATAGTATCACCGGCCTACCATGACAAAGATCGACTACATCGAGGAGCTCGAAGGATCCATACGTTGGGTCCATAGTCGCTATGGGGAGCATAAAGATGATGAACACAATAGAGACAAGCAAATGATTGATGCTCATGACAACCATGACGGAGAGGAGCCTGAGGGAGCAACACATTAGACCCTGTACCACCGAGGCTTTCTTTCAATATTTTGAGGATAGGATACTTTAGTTTATCGAATCTCTTTGATCTCATGTTGATGTACACTTTGATGAACTTGTGACTCGTCATGATGCTATTGAGGCACACATGATTAAGGAGGTTCTAGCGATTCAGCACCAGCTCGATAGATTTTCTTTCCCTCCTTCTTCACCATCTTAGTGAACATGCATATCATATCATTTTCATACATTAGACTTTGTTACAATTATATCTTTTGGACATTTGATGTTATATTTGATATTTAGTACATTATTATTTGATTATTTGGATATTTATGACTTTAATACTTTATATTTTGTATGTATTTTGTCTTTTATGTTAAAGTACCTTGATAGTTCTTATATTAATTCTCTATATATTTTTATTTGATTCTAGTTTTATTTTCATTATTTTATCTCATTGTTATATGGAATTAACATTGTAAAGTATCTTTGATATAACAAAAAAAAAAGGAAAAAATAAATATAAATTGAAAAATAATTTTATTGCTTTAATTTTTTTAACAAATTCATAAGTCATTTTATTAATTTTCTAAGGGGATAATTTTTCAAAGAGTTTTGTAATGTCAAAAAGGGAGAGATGGTTGATGTTTTGATATAACAATAAATTGCAAAATTGATTTTAGACTAAATCAAATTTGTCAAAAAATTATAAAAAATAATTCAAAGTCCAAATTAACTTAAAAAATATATTTTAAATATTTTCCAACTTAGTCGAACCTTTTTCAAAAACATATTCGATTGCTTTCACACTTTAAAGTCAAGTTTCCAAGGATTTTTTGCTTAAAGGACCGATCCCTTAGCAATTGGATTGATCTTTTTGACCAAAGGATTGATCACCTTAAAAATGATCGATCTCATGGATTCTAGAAACTTTTGGATCGATCCCTTCACTAAAAGATCAATCTTCTGATGAAAAGGATTGATCCCTTTTACCAAAGGATCAATCTTTTGTGCGTTAAATGTTATTTTTTTATTTTATGTAACGACTATAATGACTCTCAATGGCTCCAAACGGCTAGAATTGATAAATACTATATTAATTGAAGGTCAAAGTATCCCATGGTCAAAAAGAAACGTATTGAACCAACCTACCAACATCAAAGTATTTTTTTTACTTGATTTGTCAAATTATTTATTGTATACACACTTGTGAGCTACATTATTTATTTTGTTGTGATTTTGGGTGAATGCTTAAATTGTGTAAACATATTTGCCTTGTGAGGTTCTCTTAATTTTCTTAATTTGTAATTACTCTTTGGGAGAGTGTATTCAAGGTTTTGGGTATAGACCTTGAAGTGTTTTGAGAAATCTTTAGTGTGGATGTTAAGGTGTTGAATGTAGACTTTGGTTGCTAAAATCAAACCACTCCAAATCGTTATACAAAAGTTATTTTTAGATTATTTTCACACCAAACTTTTAAAAGGTTAATTCATTTCCTCTTAGTGTATTTCGATTGATCATAAGAGTTAGCATAATCAAATGTAAGAAATAGATATGAAACTGGACTATACCAAAAATGAAATGGAGATGCCAAGTGAGAAAATATAAAATCCAAAAGGCAAGAGATCATTTGGTACGAAGTCCAAAACTATATAGTTTCATATGTTAGAAATGTGCCTACAACTATACACTATGTAAATTTCAATGCTACACTTACAACTATACACTGTACACTATGTAAATTTCAAATGTTACCGCCATAATAAAATACTCTCAATGAAATAAAATAATTCATAATATTCATAACTTGCTATTTTTTAAAAAGAAATTTCTATATTCAATATAATTTTTGGTGTCATTTCTAAATTTATAATAGGTATAGGCTTTTATATAATTTTTTTTTGAAAGTAGACATCACGCATTATCTGAAATTAGCATCTGAAATAACATTTGAAGCAATAAAACTAGGATAATCAGAAGTAAAAGAAACTGGTGAATTAACAGCAACAACATATTGTGCCAGGCGATGAGCAACACCATTCGCAGTACGACGAATGACACGAACACAGTATTCAGGATTAACATCCAACACCTGCCGAGCTTCCATTAAAGTGAATCGCAACACGAATTGGTTTATACGGGGCTGTAGTACCTTCAAAACCACATTTTTTGAGTCACTTTCAAGAATCACCTTGGAGAAGACAAGTTCCATAACAAAACGAAGCCCACAACAAATGGCAAGAGCCTCATCCATGGATGCATCCCGGAGACATGAGACTTGCTTTGGACATCCGACGATGACCATCCCTTCAGAGTCACGCACAATAACCCCTATCGCTGGCGATCCTAACCATCGTGGGCAAGTACCATCAATGTTAACCTTCACTACAGATGGCGGTGGTTTTATCCAGTTAGAATCAGTGGAGAAAGATGGTGTAACCAAACAAGGTATAGCTGAAACACGAGCTTGATTGTATGCCACCTACATCGCTTTACTGGACGCAACTACCTGTCAAAGAGGAAGTAGCCGATCTTCATGTAGATGGAGATTACGTCTGTACCAAACTTGGGAAAGAATGAAAAGCAGAAGAGTGAAATCCTTAGCTGTCAATAACCCCATAAGCGATTCACGCCAAGTTTCACAAGATGGAATGTAACACCCCAAATTACGGGTTAGTAGTTTCGGGATTATCCGAGAGATAAGTGGATATAGTGAAATTTATAAATTAAGTTGTTGGGATTCATTGGGTTGGATTTGGGACCCAAATAGTCACAAAAAGGGAGTTTTTAATTAAGGGATAAAATATGGAGGACCTAAAGTGTAATTAGACCATTGTTGGTTTGGAAGATATTGTTGAGGGTTTTAAAGGGGTTTCGATCGTGGGTTTCCTTCCCACTTTTCTTCTCTTCATTCTTCTTCTTTCATCTCCTTCAAGTGACTATAGCTTCAAGAGGGGTTTTCTCCATTCAAGCCTTGAGGAGGTTGATTTCTAACTAAAGGAGGTTTATTTCGGGATTCAAGCATCAAAGTAGTGTATTTCTAATCCTTTGGAGTGTTAAGGTTTCATAAATCCATGATTTTTGCTAATATTTGATGATTTGAACATTTTAGGGTTTATTTTTAATTTCTCAATCAAATCACATTTTATGTGTTAATAGCATGTTTTAATGATACCTAATGATCTTAAATAACTTACTAAAACTTTAGAATAAGTTTAGAAACCAACCCATGTCATTTGGAGTGATTTTTGAGAGATTCCCAAGCTTAAGCAAGTCATTCCCATAAAAAGGATCGATCCCTCAGCCAAAGGGACCGATCCCAAAGTTTATGTCCAGTAAAGGATCTATCTCATTTCAAAATGATCGATCCCTCAAGAGAAAGGACATATCCCTTTTTAGAAGGATTAATCCCTTGGAGAAAAGGATCGATCCCTCGAAAGAAAGGACCAATCCCTTCTTTGTTTTGCTCGATGAAAAGGATGAATTTGCATTCATTAAAAGTCCTAAGTGTTGTTGAATGTTCTTTTAACCCGTCTAAGGTTTGTAAGATCTAAGGACGATCCGTAAGAGTAAGACTTAGTCTGTGAGGGACATAAATGACCCAACATACCTAAAAATACTCATAGGAGTAGGTTACACTAGGTGTAACCATATTAAGTGTAATACACTAGATTATCTTCAATCGAGGACATATGCAGAAGGTTGGGATTGAGGATCAGTACATGAGATACTCGATGAGTGGTACAACAAATATGTCAAATTCAATATCGACAAAGAGCATGGTGCTTCGAGAACGTCAGTGAATCGAAAATGAATAAGCCATTCCATTACTTCAAGGGGAATTGGGAGAAGTACGATAAGAGCATTAGGAGTGTTGTTACCCAGTAACGAGATCGAATCAAGTATTGGGCTAACCAGTGGATCAGTTAGTGTACTACAAACACCATAATCATCGAAAAATTATGAAACTCTTAGAGACCTCTCTGGAGGTAGAAATGAGTAAAATACCCTATAAGTAATAATACCCCTCCCATAATGTCCTAGGTGAGAGGATGAGCGGGATAGTCTCGAGTGAATGGGATATTACCTCACCTGATTTCAATAAGTTTAATAGCGAGTGATCGAGCTACTTCATCTAGAGCAGTGTGGAATCAATTGACGTGTGTTAAGGCGTAACTCTAGATGAGAGCCTTATAATAATAATGAGATAATAACATTAATTGTATGATAACCATAAAAGCCTTATGAGGTAAGATTCCATAAGACTTATGCCCTTGTGTATCGCTCAAGAAATGATGAGGACACCTGAGTAACTTTAGCAATAGGACGATCGTCTTGAGTGCAAAGGATATTCAAATATATCCAAGTCAGTGCAAGATGCACTTTAGTCACTAGTTGAACATGGTACTGATGCTATGTGACCTAGACACGTTTTGAGTACTCAAGAGAAGTAGACTAGCCAAGCAAGATGTCGATGTTGTGTGACTCGGACCTAGCCTAAGATACTTGAGAGGTATCGATGCTATGTGACCCGAACCTCACCTAATATACTTGGGAGATGGTGATTTTGTGTGACCCAGGTCTACCCAATGTACCACTATTAAGCAAGAAAAGGTGTGAGTTATGTGATGATATGTGACCTAGAGCTACACCATGATGCTTACTTATTGTTGAGTAATAGCACCTTTGTCAAAGGGCTTCCAGAATCTCCGACAGAGTACTGTATTGTAGCTTTAGTGGGCATGTGTATTCATAGAACCTTACTTTTGTATTTGAGTTGCAAACTTCAAGATGTATTATTTTGATTTAAATATTGCGTTATGGAGCTCAAATTTTGTAAAAATGTTTTATAACCGTTGTTTATGTTTTATTATGATACCATTCAATATATTTGAAAAGAAAATAAATAGGTTTTGAGTATCAGAGATTGCCTCGGAAGCCCAATGTGGCCCTTTAGGCCCAATCGAGTTTAGGGTGTTACATTTAGTGGTATCAGAGTGCCATGTTAAGTATGTTATAGGACCCAATGGTCATTTTTAGTAAGGTGTCAGTGAATATATGTCGTTAGGTGCTCAACGTACTTGTATAAGTATAGAATCCTGATGGTGCCTCATTTTCTAAGTCTGTGTTACAAAAACTTGTAATGATTGATAGTTCCAAGCGTGGTCTAGAAGATAGGATGTAAAGTCGAGCCTCTCATCTTGATAATGTTATCAAGGAGTTCTTGCATAGAGCGGAGGAATATGGGGTCTCATTAAGCGTAAAAGTTGTAGAGGTGACCTTCTTTAGAGGTTTGGGTTCCACTCTCATGGAGATATTGGACGTTATTCCTAGAGTGCAAATTGTGTAGCCAACCAACCAGGGTATGCCAGTGCCGATAGAATCTCTGATAGAGAGACTGAAGATGTATAATACATTCAATTTCTACGGTAAGATATAGTGTGTTAATGCTTTGCTCAAGGGTGATGCTATAAGTTTGCAAGAGATTGTAGAGATAGCTCTACATCTGAGGGTGCCTACATGGGATCAACTCATAGAGAAATTTAAAGGCATGTATGTTGACGAGGCGCACATAGATAGTTTGAGGATGTAAATTCTCTTAGTTGGTTCAGGAAAACCGTTCAGCGCTCAAGTACGAGAGAGATTTCCTCATATTGAGCTATTACACTCCAAATAGTTACGACCGAGTCTTTGAGATGCAAGAGGTTTCCTGGGTAGTAGGCGACAGACCCGTCTAAAGTGTTTTTCATAGTCATCACGACATGTTAAAGCCGTAGAAAGGGTACAGGCTATGAAAAAAGAGTTTGTTAGACGAATCTGGTAGCCCGAGAAGGAGGGCCCGTGTGCCAGTGGACCAATCTAAGTTAGTGGTCGAGAGGACCAGAGGTCCGCGAGAGTAGAGAAGAGTGACATCAGCTTTGTCACTCCACCCGAGTCAGAGTGTAGGTGCAGGGTCTCATAGGAGATTGTTAGATTCTCCATCTGTGGCAAGCTCTAAAGATTCTGATAGAGTCATGAGGTATCCAGAGTGCGAGTCTTGTGGCAAAGATCATCGATGAAGATGTTTCAAGCTTTATAGGAAATGCCATGGATGCAGATCTTGGATGCATTTGGCAAGAGATTGTCCTAGTCTGATTGATGTTGGTTCTATGCTTGAACAGGAGAAAAAAAAAGTAGATCAACTTGTTTTCGGATCGACGGTGTGTGTTTTCTCTTTTCAGATCGCAGATGAGATGCTATGTATGTTTTTAGACATCCCAGCTTTTTGTGTTGGTATAGTAAGCATTTAGTAAGCATATGTGCACAAATTCTTTTGTGGTGAACAATGAGCTAAGTAAGAAAAGTATTCGTGTGAAGGATCTTAGAATGAGACCCAGGTGTCGAGTGGGTTGGCCTTAGCAGAATGAGCAATATTATCTCATATATTCTTTAATGGTTTGTGTGATCGACTCGCATATAATTTTGAGATACTAGTTTGGCGCCGGAGGTAAGGAATCTTCACGAGAGTATTAAGAACACTCGAGTCACTCTAACTAGTATTTCAATTGCCTTGTTTTCAGAAACTTCAAGATATGTCTGAATCAGTGCTAGAGCACTTTGGTTGCTAACTAGGTGCAGATGCCCCAAGTGCCCTCGAGGAGTAAGTTAGCTAATTGTATGTTTCGATACAATAGTTCCGAGTTTCCCTCTGATTTCGTCAGTGTGCATTCGTGCATAATCGGTAAGTGAGTTAGCTAAGTGAGCCAAGCCTTGACAGTAGTGTTATGTGAGTTAGCTAAGTGAGTTAGCTAAGTGAGTTTCCCTATGTATCACACTCAATAGCATGCAACATTGCTTTTATTGCATATTTTGGGTACCTTGGGTTATAAAAAAATCAAAATCAAGTTCGTTAGGCATCATATGACTAGTGTCAGTTGTCATTGGTTAGCTCAATGATGGTGAGCATTAGCGAATACAAGGTGTAGAGCCTCAAAACCTTAAGTTAAAGTTTGACCTTATAAGATCTCCTCTTTATGTTATGTGCCCTCCAGGAGATTCAAATGTTATTAGTTTCGCTCGACAAATGATCGATTTTCAGTTGTGAGTCCCTTATATGCTCGATCAGATGAGCATAGCGTTTGTAAGTCGTAAGATATATGGGAAATAGTCAGGTACTGTAGTTGAGTATTGAATCAGAGTTGTACAACAGAAGCATATAGATTGACGTTAATCAAGGGTTATCATCGTATTTTCAGTAGTTAGTATTGAGATAGTGTTAGCAAGTGTTGTAAGATCTCAAGGTATAACACATATGTTCAGCAAGTAAAATCGATCATCGGGTTATATAGCAAGTTAACACGATTGAGCAAGATTTATTAGAGAATGTCTTAATGATAATAGCGAATGGAGGAGTAGTGTTATTCTTGTGGATCGTTCTGAGCGTGTAGTGTCAGATATAGAGAATATAATTCCTTAGCTTTAAGTTTTTAAAGGTTTTCGCTTAAAGTTTGACGTTGGTAGCGCCCTTAGGAAATCATAGATCGATTTGCAAGTTTGAACTATATGTCATATGATGGGGACTTCTTCTTTGAAAATTAGTTTTAATAAGGTT